AGGTTGCCCAGAGAGGTGGTGGAAGCCCCAGGGATGGGTTTTTAAGGCCAGGCTGGATGGGGCCGTGGGCAACCTGGTCTAGTGGGGGATGTCCCTGCCCATGGCAGGGGGGTTGGAACTAGATGATCTTTAAGGTCGCTTTCAACCCTGACAATTCTATGATTCTATATCAGGATTATGTTGATTTTTCCTCTAGGGTTTCACTTCAGATCTGGACTTACATATCCTCTTAAAAGAATTGTATTTAAATTACTTTTCAGAACATTGTTATGTTGGAGCACACCAAGTTTAGGCCTGTTATATTGATTTTATAATACTGAAAACATTTTATGTGTTAGTCCTATTACTAGGTCTTATCTTAGTAGAGAACATTTAATTATTGTTTTTAAAACAACTACAGCTATTACATTACTCAGTGCTCTTATTAATTTCTTTTTTTAGACTTTGTCATGAGTAGAAATTAGAGAACTCTACTTAGGCATAAGTCATAATACAAAAACCTTCTTGTAGCATTATTCACAGATAGTACCACCTTATATGTTTGCTGGAGGGGAAGTGATTGATTTCAAATAGTGTGAGACAGAATTTTAAAAATCCACCTACAGTATATAAGAACAATTTAAAAGTTGCTTCATTATTCCAAAGCCAGTAAGCTATAAAAAGTGTAGCACAAATTACTGCATGCTAATTTCTTTTACTATTCATTTTCTCATTTTGAATATTAATTGTTTAATCACCTAGAACAGCGATAATTCTAACACAATAAATTAAGCTTATTAACCTTCAGCACCTCCCTCTATTTAAATTGCTTCCTGGACTCCTTCTACCCTTCTTCTGCCCTGCTTATTCCAGTTTGATGACAAATCTTTTGAATATGAAATTTCTAGTATGCCAGTCAGGCGTTTTAGCTCTCTCCCTACATAGAGAAGATTACACGTTTTTCTTATATGTCCACAGCAGAAGGACAGGGGGCAATGGGCACAAGCTGCAATGTGCAAAATTCCAACTAGATAATTGGAAGAAGAATCACAGTGAGGGTGGTTAGACTTCAGAACAAGCTGCTGTGAAAATCTGTGGAAAGTGCATCGTTGGGATGTTTAAAACTTGGCTGAATCTGACTCGGAGCAGCCTGACCTACCTTTATAACAAGGTCCAGCTTTAATGTTCCTTCTGCTTTTGAGCATGGTTTTGAACCACATGACACCACAAGTCCTTCCTGGCCTTTCTTACTCTATCATCAGGAAAATTAGTCTGTCTTAGAAATATCGTTTCTCTGACCTCTTTTTTAGATTAGCTTTTTTGCAGATTTTTTTTTTCTTTTGCTTTTGAGATTAGATTTTTTGGTGTCAGACCTGATATGAGTTACCCCTCCTGAGGCTGACCAACTCAAAACAGGGTGGGCATGCTGCAAAAGAGTATTCGTTGTTGTGTCCCTGACTGACCCGTATTTCCATGCACTGAAATTCCCAGAGGCATATCCCGTAGTTAAGGGTACAACAGCAGAATGAGTTGAGTTCCTGTGAGCTGTGGGAGACCACGTCGTCATCCCTGCAGCTAGAAGAGCAACTGTAGAAAGTGCTGGGACACTGACAGCAGTTGAGTGATGTTAGCATGGGTCCATAATAGGCTGGTTGGTTGTTGTGTTAGTTGTTTTACAAGTTGTTGTTGTTTACAATTTTGCAAGATTCAGGTCTTGCTTCCTTTGCTTCTTTGTAATATGCCTGGTTGTTAAAGATTTTCTTGTGTATGGAGAACATTCAAGTTTTGAGGAAGATGCACAGGTGAAAATTTAAACTCAGTTTTGAGAGCAAAGCTGGGGGAAGGGTAGTTCCATATTCTTCTAGGGAGGGCACAAATAAATCCTTTAAAAAGAAGACTTCTCTCTTATTTCATAGTGTGTGGCTTGGACTCAGCAAAGGCGATCGTAACTGATGAATATACCAGTCACACTTGCTCTGTGTCTTCTGTTGAATGGCAAGAAGTAATAAACCTGAAGAAGGGATTGTCCCAGTACCATTCAAAATCTCTCCCTTATAGGTTACTCTTGAAATTTCTGAAAGAAATGTTTCAGTTTAGTAGATATTGAAAGAAATTAAAAAAAAAACCAACAAAAAACAAGCACGAACAGGATATAAAGGATTAGCCGGCCATAACTGGAATGTTGATTTGTGAAGCAAACATTTCTAATATGGTGAATTTTTCTTTTAACCACTCTTAGCATTCCAATTTGAGACATTAGGCTGCTGCCAAAAGCCCAGAGTGCTTACTTAAACTTACATTTTTCTCCCTGGAGCAGTAATTACCGTGTAGTAAACGCAGGGCAGACACCTCTTTGTGCCTGTCTATATGTAACCGTCTAGCTGTGGGACTCTGATGAAAAACACTCTCTCTGCCTTTCTGACCTTGCTGTCCATCCCATCCGTACCCGCAGCTGGAGAGGATGTGACCCGGTGATCTCAGTCATTTGTATTCTGCAGTAAAATGGGGCCTTGGTCCTGATGGAACAGGACAAGTTTCAGTTGCTAATTTTAGGGTTGGAGTTTAGGTTTTTTACTGAAAAACTGTTAGATGTGTATGACTGGAATTATGTGTTTCTTCTCTGAATAATTTTTTTTTTTATTTTTCACGTTCTTCTAGACAGAAAGAATTTACTTTCAGGTATTTTTACCAAAGGGAAACAAAGAGAAAAGCAAACCCATGTTCTTCTGCAGTAAGTGGAGTGTTGGCAAAGTAGTAGATTTTGCAGCTTCCATAGCAAGCCTTAAAAATGACAACAACAAATCAACATCCCAGGTAAATCAGTAATAATAAACATTTTCTGAGTCGTTGGGTTTTGATTTCTTTGTATTTTTTCTTTTACTTTTTGCCCCTCCTATACTCTGCTTTTTGCATCCCAGATTGGCAAATCCCGATGTTAATTTCTCTGCTATTTGTCTTACAGAAATTGAGATTATGCCATGCTGCCTCTGGAGAAGCCTTACCGTTTGAGCACACATTGGAAACGTGGCTATCTGATAAAGACTATCCATTGTACAATGGTGGAAATATCATTCTGGAGTATCTTGATAATGAAGTTCTGTTTCTAGAAGATACAGAGTCATACTTTAGTTAATCAGTAAATTATTACAAACAAAAAGAATCAAAGATTTTTTTTAGAAGTGTCGTATTCACATCACACTGTGGTTTCAAACCACAGCTGTGTCCTGAAAGCAAAATCTGTTGTTATAATAACTAATATTACAGATACTCACTTTCTAGAATAAATTCTTGCTTAATTGAGCTATATAATGTCTAATATGCTAAAAAGCTAATAATGCTTTCTTAAATTTTATATTTATTTTCATGTAAATGATGGGAAATGTATTAAAACCAAAGAAAATGTAAATGTGCAACGTATCAGTTTTCTGAAGGAAAGAAACACGTTACACTATTACAGCATTTTTTCTACATGTACAAGAACAGATTTCATTGAGTTTGGAATCCAGCACTGTCTGTCTGCCAGTTCCACATTTTCTTTTCCATAGTAGCGTAACATTTAGAAGGAACGCTTTCTGAAGCAAAAGTAAATTCACACAGATGTCTTTCTTCATGTTTGTAAATCTCAGCATCATTGTCTGATTAGGTGGGCTATAGAGAACAAACTTGAAACTATCCTTTTCTAGTTCTTGTGAAAAAGAGGAAGAAATAGGGTAAGAGAGGAAGAAATACGGTTCACCTAGAAGCATAGCACTCAATAGCTTGCAGTTTCATCCTGTCCTTTCTAACCTTAGATAAATCTAATTCTTCAGCAGTTTGCAGGGTGGACTTACTGAGCTTTAAAGCAGTTGTTTGCAATGATTGTACATTGCAGTTTCGTCCTGTCCTTTCTAACCTTAGATAAATCTCTAATTCTTCAGCAGTTTGCAGGGTGGACTTACTGAGCTTTAAAGCAGTTGTTTGCAATGATTGTACATAAAGAAGTTACACGTCTGGGTGCGTAAGTATGACCTATAGAATTAAGGTCTTTCTCAGTTGTCATTATTTCAAAATTGTTCAGTGCTCATTAAGAAGTTTCAGAATATCAGTAGTTGATGTACTCCAGTTTTTGGATCTCTTTTCCTGGATTTCAAAGTTGGATTGTAAATTCAAAGCAAACAGCGAGGAAGAACCACAAAATTGTTTTATTATAGCTGCTTTGAATTACTGAAACATAAAAACTTGTAGTGTTGCACACAAATAGTAAAGCCAGGTTAGGAAATAACCTTAAGTTCTGATGCATAACCAAGGAGCCTTTCTTCATCTTTCTTGAACTCATTCTGCAATGGCCTGTCTCTATTTAAGCTAGAGGAGCAGAACCCTTTCAAGACTAATTCCTCCAGTTTGCTTTCATCTGTTGACAATCATTCAAATGATGTTTTCAGACTAGGAGAAGCTGGAAAGGCAGTCTTACAATGACAGAAACGACGGAAAGGACCACGCATGAACGTGTGTAAGCAGAGCAGTGGAAACCACAAGCCTAAGCTCTGCTTGCAAAGCTGTCGTGTTTTTCTACCGCTCTCTGGTGCTGTGTAGTGCAAATAAACTACTGAGGTAAACTTGCTCATTGGGCCCTAGATAGGCTAGCAAGATTTTCAGCTGCAGTCAGGTGCAGCATGTCAGCTGTGTGCCATTGCTACTGAAATAACCTAGTGGCTTGTGATTAGGGCGCAGTATTTGGATAGAGCAGGAGAAATCTCTGGCACCCACAGCCTGACTCACTGCTAGATCAGTGTGACTCACCTTTCAATGAAATTGGAAAGAGATGAGCTACCTTACTTCTTCAGACACAGGGTACTTTCTTGCAGGCAACTGCCTTCCTACTCTGTTCTCATGTTTGCAAGGATGTTTCAGCTTGTACATCCACCATCACTGAACGTACTCCATAATCCCTGGAGGTGTAAATGAGCCACAGGGACACTGAATGTCTACATTGTTCAAAAATGTCAACACGGTGCGTTTCAGGGATATTGTCCTGCAATTGCAGGACATGCATAGAAGTGTGGAGAAACACTATGGGGAGGGCAGAGGACATAAGGCTAAGGAGTATTGCTAGGCCTGTGAGAAATTGAGTTTTTGGTTTGGAGAGCTGACATGAGGCAGAGAGGTGTACCCAGACCTGCAGGTGGAGGTAGGCACCACATCACAGTCACCTGGGCAGTCACAAACCTGGATTTGGTGGTTTGGGTCATTCAGTTATCATCTTCACTAAGAAAAACTGCATGTTTTTTCTCTAGTATGTGCTTGCCTAAAGGGAACCATTCTCCACTAGCTATACTGCTAGATTCTGGCTTATTTATACTGGTGTGAAAAAAACCAGCTGTGCATGGCATAGCCACTGTAGGCACAGCTGCAATAAAAAAAATAATCACAAGGTAAGAGGAGTCTACCTATCATCTTTTTCAAAGGTACTGTCCATTGGCAAAACAATAATGCAGTCTTGTTCAAGTGGCTGTAAATTACCATGGTTTTCGGTACTACCAAGTAGTACACCTTTATTATTCAGCAATATCTCTAGGATTTTTATATATTGATTGGGCTTGAATATAACCCAAAGCCATCTCAGTAAGTGTGTCGCTATTAATTTACTGTAGTTTTAGCATGACTTAGGTATTGCTAAATTATTTTACTGGATGTGGTGTGGGTATCACAAAAAGGAAGGTGCTTCTGGTTTCCATGAAAGAAAGGGTCCTCAGTGGTTGAATATTTCTGAAATTTTGATCTTTTGGCAGTGGGAAGTATGTGTGCATTTTTCCACTGACCCCATCTATCTCTCCAGCTGTTTGTCATCTCCCTTTCCAGCACAAGAGGAACAGTTCCCTTTTCCCTTGTTATTTCTTTTCCTCCCTTTCCTTCGCAATTCTCTATTCACCTTTCTTTGCATCTTAGGGTGCTGTGGTAAGGAATATGGAATAAGAGGCCAACTACCCTTGTGGGACAAGTGGCATGGGGAAGACTGAACCCCAGACTGAACCAGCTTTTCCCAGTGTTGTTCCAGGAGCAAGTGGAAAATGCCGCTACAGAACCGGATCGGGTTTTTTCCAGCAGAAAATCCACATTCTCTACTTGCCCCCTTCCTTCTGCCCCTCATTTTTCTGCCCTAGCAGTTCATGTCAAAATAATTAAAATAACAGTCATTGTGGGTAGAGTGAAGATAGGCTTGGGACGTAGGAAGTAAATCTTTGGGGAGGTCTCAAAGGTTCTACCAGGAAGGTTGCTTTCATCAATCGCCAGTGATTGCTAAGTGCTAGCAGCCTGTAAATGGCAGTACAAATACAGCAAGTCCCAGTTGATAAGACTCCAAAATGTTTTCACATTCACTTTCATCTTATTCCAGGAATGTGTCTGGAACTGTGTATAGAAGCTCATCCCACTTCATTTTCAGAAACTGAGAAGCAAAACCAAATTAAGCTAGTTTGACAGATAAATAATTGAGCAGAGGTGAAAACTCTGTCCTGATTGTTGACTCTAAGAACGAAAACTTTCCCAGAGATTCAGTATCTTGCCTAAGCTAGAACTGCTAACATTTTAGCAGTTTAAACTATAGCATATCTTTATTTAGTATGTACATTGTTTTGCTCTTCCAAAGCTTATTATCCTAGCACATTTTCATGGGGAAAGTTAAACAACCAGAGGTGGAAAAAAAGAAAGAAACACCAAAAATGAAAACACTTTGGGGGAGACATCTGACTTGTGAAACTATTGTTAATTTTATAGGCTTGTGTTTAGAAGTTGTTGAACTGTTTCACTTCGAAGTTAATAAATAAAATGTTAAACTCACTTCTAGAAGACGCAAAGAAAATGTATGCAAAGTTACTTAACCGAGAAGAGGAATTTGTCAAAAGAAATACTTAATGATTTTATAATAAACAGAACTTTCAGTGAAACTATTCAAACGGTAAATATAAAGCTTTTTGGTTATAGCTGGGCAGCAATTCTAGAGAATACACAAGGTCAAGCCTTTGCAAACATTTTACCACCAAGAATGCTCTTGTAGCAACTCCTGGCCTTGGTCCAGTTCAAATACTGCAACAAAATTGCCTGACCTATATTTGTGATATATTTAACACAGTTTGGAAAGATTTATATTAGCATCAAGAGCTCAGTTTTGCTTGGATATATGATTTGTTAGATTAGCTGAGCAATGCCGTAGCAAACAAGAAATCATACACTACGAAAGCAGGCAGTCTTGTACTTTTCATCATTTTCCTTTTGTGTGTCTGTTTTAGACAAGTCTGTGCCCTGCAGTGTGATCAGTCCGGTTTGAAAACTTTTATCAATAAATCACCTCTGTTCATCTTCCTTATCAGGTGTCACATAAAAATAGACCTCCTTGCAGTTCAGTTCTCCTCATAGTAGCCACTTACATGAAATACAAAATTTCCTTTCAGCTGTGTCCTGGTTTTGGCTGGTGGTGTGGCTTGAGCTAGAACAAAACCAATTCTCCGTTCGGTGATTTTACTTTTCAGCTAAGGCTCTTCTAAGAGACTGCACTTTCTGAAGTTAAAGGCATGTTTTTGCAGACAGTGTCTGCTTCTAGAAGTGATAGTGCTTAATGTTTATAGTTGCTACTAAGGGATAGTAGGCAGAAAAACTCTTGCTTATACTTGCCTCTACAGAATCCAAGGTCACTGCTAAATCTTTAGTGCGCTGTTCAAGTGCTATAAGTACAAGAGTCGTTATTAAGCAAAAAGATTGCACATGCAGGGAGGAGTGGACAGGACAGGTGACCCAAACCTGAGCAACGAAAATATTTCATTCCATATACATCACATTCACTATAAAATTGAGAGATCACAAGGGTCAAGCCCTCTTGTATGGCTGGTATCTGAGAAGGGCTCCATCCATTCTTCTGCATTCAATCCCAATCCGTACAGCTCCTGAATCCAATTCCTATCTACAGCTGAGTCCAGTCTGGGACTTCCCCAGTGCCTGTTCTGCAGCGTCAATGGTGACATGATCGTCATCATGTTCAATATTGGTTTTGTGTGTATTTGTACGTATTTCATTACTTTCTTATTAATGTTATTAAATTTTCCTTTTATTGTTACTATTTATTAAAGCTGGTTTAGTTTTTTTTCCAACCTGTAAGTCTCT